TGAATTTTATAGTTAATATCCACATCTTAGTCCCACCTAATTGGAATGTTCAATTGCTTATTTTTAAGATAGAGTGCATACTAAATTGATTTAGGGATTCAAATTTTCACAGCAAGAAATATGTTGTTATTCTCCAAACCATTATATTCTTTGCAAACAATTTGTAATACTTCTAATGGGATTCAAAATGTTGAATTTAATGGCATGTTTATCCTCTGAGACGTTCAGGTCGCATATGCAGGCACAGAAATACCTATCAAGTACACATGAAGAGCCAACTTCATTTTTTCCCTATTTCATAGCAATGCTTTTAACCAAGTTGCCCTGTGCCTTATCCAGCAAAACTGACATTCTGTACTTCTTACTGGATTCCAGCAAAAGATATCAAAGGGGCACTTTTTGAGTGCTTATCACTTTTCACTTCCTATGCCTTGGCACAGTGAATTCACATTCATTGACTGATATCCAACTAATAATATTTCAATGAGTTAAGTATATAACAAACCTTCTAGTTTTATATATAGTATCTTTTGAGGCTATTTTTATGTTACATTTCCAAAATTGATGTAGCTTGTTATATTAGTAGCAAGTAGATACAGTTTTACTTCATAGCTGAATCATAATACAAAATTCCATACTGAGGTTCTTTAGGCCCAGGAAACCCCATAAGCTAACAAGAAAGACCTCAGAAGAGATGCCCCTATGGACACTGATTCCAAGCTTTGGTCCTCTCATGAATATAAATTTTCATTACTTAAGTCACTAGTTTGTTATGCAGCTTTAGAAATTAACACAGCTTACTCCTGATAAAGAAATGAAATTTGTAGTTTAAAAAAAATTCTCAAGACCCTAATAGTGTCTCTGTTGAATTCCATGAAACATTAAAAGAGGAAAATAATACCGGTGTTATACAAACTATTTTAGAAAATAAAGGAAACCAAAACACTTCTGAATTACTCTTATAAAGTCAACATAACTCTGACACCAAATCTATCAAATAAAATTGTTATACAAAAAGAAAATTACAAATCAATAGCAGTCATGAACATGGCACTAAAAATTTCAAAAAGCTTTTAGCAAATCACTTCCAGCAACAAATCTAAATAAATAATTCATCATGTACTAGTTGGGTTTATCCAAGGAGTACCAAACAAGATTAATATTTAAGAAATAATAATTGTAATTCACCAAATTCTTTTGTTTTGTTAATTATATTTTTAATTTATATGTTACAGTGGAATGTCTTATAATTCATATTACACATATAGAGCACAATTTTCCATATCTCTGGTTGCATATAAAGTATATTCACACCAATTTGTGTCTTCATACATGTATTTTGAATAATGATGACCATCATATTCCACCATCATTTCTAACCCCATACCCCCTCCCTTCCCCTCCAGCCCCTCTGCCCTATCTAGAGTTGGTCTATTCCTCCCATGCACCCCCTTCCTACCGCACTATGAATCAGCCTACTTATATCAGAGAAAACATTTGGCATTTGTTTTTTGAGGATTGGATAATTTCACTTAGCATTATCTTCTCCAACTCCATCCATTTACCTGCAAACGTCATGATTTTATTCTCTTTTATTGCTGAGTAATATTCCATTGTGTATAAATGCCACTTTTTTATCCATTCATCTACTGAAAGGCTTCCAGGTTGGTTCCACAGTTTAGCGATTTTAAATTGTGCTGCAATAAACATTGATGTGGCTGTGTCCCTGTAGTCGGCTGTTTTTAAGTCCTTTGTGTATATTCTGAGGAGTGGGATAGCTGGGTCAAATGGTGGTTCCATTCCCAATTTACCAAGGATTCTCCATACTGATTTCCATATGGGCTGCACCAATTTGCAGTCCCACCAGCAATGTATGAGTGTACCTTTTTCCCCACATCCTCGTCAACACTTATTGTTGTTTGTATTCATAATAGCTGCCATTCTGACTGGAGTGAGATGAAATCTTAGAGTAGTTTTGATTTGCATTTCTCTAATTGCTAGCGATGATGAACATTTTTTCATATATTTGTTGATTGTATATCATCTTCTGAGAAGTGTCTGTTCAGTTCCTTGGCCCATTTATTGATTGGGTTATTAAGATAGACTATTCAACTCAATACATTAAAAAAGCATGTATAGAATATTCAACCCCATTCATGATTCAAAATTCTCAACAACAAAATTAGGATAGAAACTCCTCAAATATGATAAAAGTCATTTATGAAAAAATACTATCTCATATAGTGAAACACTGGAATCCCTCACCCTAAATTGAACATAAAGTAAATATGTCTATTTTTCACCATTCTATTTTCATTCCTGAGACAAAACCCAGAGTTTTCTGAGTTCTAGGCAAACACTGTACCACTGAGCTACATCTCAAGCCCTTTCTTCTTAATTTTGAGACAGGGTCTGACTAAGTTGCCCAGGCTGAGCTTACATTTGCAATTCTCCTGCCTCAGCCTCCAAAGTAGCTAGGATTATAGGCCTATGCCACCACACTAGAAATTCTAGTCAGTACGAAAACTCAAAAGAAAGAAATGGTCAAAGTATTAGAAAGAAACTAAAACCATCATCATCTACAGAGAATATTATGACATATTATCAGAGAAACCCCAGGAAATCTCAAAAAGTATATCAAAAATAATAGGTGAATCAGCAATATCTCACTACACAAGTTCAATACACAAAAATTAACTCAAATTAAATATCACCAACAATTAGAAACTGTGATTTAAACTGATTTAACACTGCACATTCTATTAGGTATTATGAGTAAACTAGAAATGACTTAAAGTATACTGGAGGAAGTTTATGGGTTATAAACAAATACTATGTATGCAATTGTATATAATTGTATATACAATTTTTTGTATATAATTGTATATACAATTTTTTGTATATAATTGTATATACAATTTTTGTGTCATTGGGGAATCCTGAAACAAAACATTGGGGAATCCTGAAACAAAACTCCCCATGGATAGCAAAAGTGCTCATAAAATTGGAAGATTAAAATTTGTAAGATCTCATTTCTTACCAAATGGAAAGAAAGGCTTAGTACATGTGATCCTAGTTAAATATTAGGCGATTTCATAAAATTGCAAGTAGTTTCGAAAATTTATGTAAAATTACAAAGGACCTAGTAAAGCCAAAGCAGTGTTAAGATAGAAGAAAAAATTTGAGAACTTGTATATCTTGACTTCAAGTCTTACTATAAAGCTGCAAGTGTCAGGTAATATTTACATAAACACAGATGTACCTAGCAGTGGAATAGGAGGGAAGTCACAGGGGTAAAAAATGGGGTTAGTCAACTTTTTTGCCACTGTGACTAAAAGATCTGACAACTTTATAGGAAGAAAAGTTTATTTGGCACTCATGGCTTCTGAGGGCTACGTTCCTGTACAGCCAAATCCATTGCTTTCGAATCAACGTGAGATAGAGTATCTTGGCAGAAACTCAGGACATGGCAATCAGGAAGCAGAGAAACTCCACTAAACAGGGACAAAATATAAACCCCAAGACACAGCTCAAGTAACCTTCCTCCTCCAGCCACAGCCTACCTGCCTACAACTATTACCAACCAGTTAATACATTCAAGTGAGTTAAATCACTGATTAGGTTAAAGGTCTCATAATCCAATTGTTTCACTTATGAACTTTCTTGCATTGTCTCACACATGAGTTTTTGGCTGTTACCTCATAGCTACACCATTATGCCACTTATATGGTCAATTGGTTTGGGGGAAATGTCAAGATAGTTTAATAGGGGAAATAAATTATTCAAAAACTTATGCTTCAGGGCTGGGGATATAGTTCAGTTGGTAGAGTGCTTGCCTTGCATGCACAATCCCCAGCACCATACACACACACACACACACACACACACACACACACACACACTAAACTTATGCTATGCTGCCACAACTGGACATCTATATTGCGGGGGAGGGAACTTGAATATTTACTTCACATTCCTTGTGAAAAATCAACTTACTGATGTTTATTGACCTAATTATAAAAACAAGAACCATAAAACTGTGGAACAAAAAGAGAGTGTCTTCATGACCTTGAGATAGGCAAATATTATTTGGACGAAGCACAAAAAATACTAGGCATAAAAGAAAAATAAACCTTTTACCCTAGTTCATCATAATCATCAAAACAATTATTAGTCATTAGGGAAATACAAATCAAAACCACAATAAATGGCTATAATTTTTTTCTAAAAAGACAACAAGAAGCATTGACAAAAATGTTGAGAACTAAGAATTTTCTTGCATTACTGTTGGGAATGTAAAATGATACTGTTAGAAAGCAGCTCCTCACAAAGCTAAACCTTCCAATTATATATATAACTATAATGCACCAATTAAAATAAATAAATAAATAGAAGGAATGGCAATAGAGTAGAGGGAAGGGATCAGAGATGGGAAGGGATGGGGAGAGGAAGTACTGAAGATTGAAATGGAGCAAACTATATTGTATGCATTTATGAATATATCAAAATGAACTATCACGCATAATTCTAATGCACTAATAAATATAGTTTAAAAGGTAAACCTTAGTCAAAACATCTAAACTGTATACTTAAAATTTTCACATTTTAAGTAAAGTACATCTCCATTTCAAAAATCAAAAAAGAATAGAAAAAAATTGTAAATAATCAATTTAGAAGTTATCCAGATTCCATCAAATACCAGAGTTGAGATTGAGGTTGAGTGTATAGACAAGGATTAAGCACTATTCTTTCTTTCTCTCTCTCTCTCTCTCTCTCTCTCTCTCTCTCTATATTTATATATATATAAATATTATTTTTTTTTTTTTCATAATTTTTAATGCTACTAAGTTTTTTAGTTTTATTGTTGTTGTCATTCTTTTTTAGTTGTAGATGGACACAATACCTCTATTTTGTTTATTTATTTTTTATGTGATGCTGAGGATCAAACCCAGTGCTTCACAGGTGCTAGACAAGTACTCTACAACTGAGCCCCAGCCCCAACCTTGATACTAGCTTTTTAACTTTATTTACATTTCATGTATATGTACATGAATTTACTACCAATTTACCAACTCACAATTTTTTACTCATCATATTTTTCTTGGAAAATGGAGAGCCTTAGAGATGTTTCTACCCTTGTGAGACCAAAGGCCTGTTTTTAAATCCATTCTTAATATTAATACAATGTTTGTAAAATATGTCTTTGTGTGTGGACTTTGCATAATTCAAGCACTAATATTTAAACCAGATTAAATGAGCAACACATTCAGAAATATCTCTGATAGCTTTTTGAAATGTTTTTTGACATCTTTTTTTTAATTGAATGAAAACATATGTCTTCAATTACTGGTACTATATTCCCTTTAAAGACAACTAAATTAATATGCCCATGAAAGAAGCATAGGTTAGAATCAAGATTTTTGTCTATTTTAAGAGAATACAAGAGCAGAAGAGGTTACAATTGTATTATGCAACTCTCCTGCTCCAATATATCAAAAACATGATGATCCAAGATCATGAAGAACAGCTGAGAAAGAATCAAAGTAAACAATGTACCTTGTAGCCAACAGAGCCTGCCAGTAAGAGATTAGAACTCTCCATCCTAGCAAGAAAATGGCTTTGGAACATTTTCTACAACATTTTATGACTCACAGATATTCCCAGAGGTTCCTGTTTCCATTCTGCAGTAGACAGTGTTTGAAGAAAGACGTGCAGTTCCAGTCATCTGTTGTTCTTAAGCAATTTGGCTGAAAGATCTGTTTAAAAAACATTTGTTAGAAAGATGATATGTTTGGGTGTTTTAATTTTTTTAAACAAAATTCTGGATTTTAAATTTAACTCTTAATTCAACATGGACTGAAAGAGTAGCAAAAGAAGAATTATAATGTTATATAATATGGATTATGAATTTAGCAATTTTCCCATTTGAAAACTCCCAACCAAGGGGTACATATCCTTGGCATAGTCCCCCTTGCATATCCTTCCAAACTGCCTCCCATCCCTGGCTCTGTGTTCAGCAGTCCTGGCTCTGATCTTGACCACCCAGTTCAGTATCTCACCTTGGCTTCTACTTAGACCAACATTGCCAGGTCACCTCCCATTCCACCAGGACTTGGTTCTTGGCTAGTCTCCACTTTTGTCTAAACCCAGCAATCTCTTTCTCTTCTAGAATTGAATAATGTTCCCGAGCTACATTTTGTCCCCATACTACTCATCTAGCTAATCCATTCTACCTGCAAGTTAGCAGTTTTTACCCACAAGGCCTCTTCTTATGCCAAGCCAGCCCCCTCCTTCTTTCTTTTCTCTTGAAAGCCCCAATTAATGAACCACTTGGCTTTTTAGAGTTGCCATCATCTACACATGGTCATTTTGTTTGTTTTTCTGATAAAAATGTGAAAATATGGACACAAGGGAAGATATAATATTATAAAATATGCTAACATCATCCCAATAAGTCCTTCCTTCATTTATTAGGCATGCTAATGGAAAGAAGCCTGACCTCTGCTGACTCCTTAAGTGACTCATCGCTGCTCTACTCTCTCTCCCAGTCTTCCATCTATCTTTGACAGTTGGCAATCCTCAGACACATGCTTTCTTTGAAAAGAAAGGTCCTCTCCCAGAGTCCACACCCATCCCTCCCTTGCTTCAGCAGATCTCACACTGCACAGATGTGGCAAACTGGATCCAACCCAGATACATGTCTACATTGACGTACATAGCATTTTATGTTTTTCTTTTCCAATTATTTGCCAATGTATAGGAATTGGAAGAGTGATCCTTAAATAGAGTTCCAGTTTCACTTGATGATCAGATCATGAAACATGGGGTCAATATTTTACGTAGCAACATCTAGAACTGAGAAATGACCAGGCAGATGCTCTGATACCATACCAGGCAGTATGATCTTTCTTACCTGACTTACCTCAGTACAATGTGGAGATCTCTGACTATAGAGAAAATAACTGCATAAGGTGCCTAAAAATACACCAAAAGGCCCAAGAGGGTTTCACTTGTATCTTGGAGGGAGGGCAGTCTGTTGACCTCTACTTCAGTATTTTCCTATTTCACCTTGAAAAATGAACTCAGATGGTTCTGTAACAAAAGAATCCTGCTCTCCTCAATTCCACAATTCAGTCTTCTCCTTCATTCAGCTAATAAACAGCACTCTCTATATTCCTTGATTCATCATTTTTCTTGCTTTACCATTTTCTGAGTTTTTCATTGACTTTGAATTTATAATGGAAACTGCAAAAATGGGATATGGAAAAGTGTAATCTATGATTTATACTGAAATTCAGCATTAAGATGTTCTGCAGAACAATTTGAAACTGAGAGAGCGATTTTAAGAAATATGATTTCTAATTTGATAACAAAAATAGTTTTATAAGATCCAATATCAGATAATGATATAGTGACATGTATGTATATGAAAATCTATAGGGTCTATAAACAGTTATATTGGAACACAAATATGTTCATTTGTTTGTCTTATCTAGTTTTTCCACAGTTATGCCTTATATTAGAAAAATTCACTGTGATGATCAAAGAATATACAGCATGTTTTAAAGAAATAGCAATTAATTGGGAAAATACTATTAACAAAATTTTACCCCTGGGGATAGAGCACTGGGCAACTAAGTGTATTCTCTTGCCTTTGCCATTGATGAGTAGATAATCTTGGACATTTCACAAACCCTTGTCAGGCCTGAGTTTCATCACCTGTAAAATGAATACTTGTTTATTCTAGATCAGATGTCAATAAACTACACCTTCAAATTTCAGTGCCTTATCTATGGCTGCTTTTTACATCACAGTAGCAAAACTCAGTAGCTGTGTCTGAGACCAGATGGTCCATAAGCCAAAAATATTCACAATCTGGCCTTTACAGAAAGCTTGCCAACCTCCGTTAAAAATGATTCTCTACACAGGATGCCCAACTCACAGAGATTCTAATATGATTAGTTTGCAGTGAGTGCTGGTGCTCAGCCCCAGAGATTATGGTGTGATTAGTCATCAAGGGTGCTGGAATTGGCATCTTCTAGCTTTTAGATGTTTCTGCTATGCACACAGTTTGTGAACTCCTTAATTAGGCATTTGGGATATCTTTAACAGTCTCTCTTTGAGAATATATATTTCACCTCTTTAGATAAAAAAGGTCATCTTCTACCCACTTCACAAGTATCCTCAGCAATGCTGAAAAAGTCCTTTGCATCATCAAAAAGAAATCCTCTAGATCAGAGACTTGGTGCTTTATAAAAACAGGTATCAGACTCCAACACAGACCTAAAACTTTCTAGAACTTCAATAATTTTTTTAAAGTTCCCCAGATGATTCTAATGAGTAACTAGTATTGATAATTACTACCCAGGATCTCCAGTGGTCCTACTTTACCACAAGCTAAACCTTTTACTCTCTATGGCACCCTGCAAGGAAGTGGCAGGTGATGATGGTTTGGTTGATGTGCTACTCATTGCAGATTCTGTGACTCAGCCATGACCTTCTCAAAGGCCATGTGCTTCTCTTGCACTCAGGAAGATGGCCTCATGACTTGGCAGTTATGATAATCCAAAAACACAAGTGAATTTAGAAACTCAGTGTTATGGTTTAGATATGAGGTATCTAAACCCAAAAATTTATGTGTAAAACAATGTAAGGATTTTCAGAAGTGAAATGATTGGGTTATGAGAGCCTTAGCCTAATCAGTGGATTAATTCATTGATACGGTTTAACTGAGTGGTAACTCTGAGCAGGTAGGTTGTGACTGGAGGAATTAGTCATTGGGGGAATGTCTTTGGGGTTTATATTTTGTTCCTGGTGAGCAGAACTCTATGCTTCCTGATTGCCATATCCTGAGCTATTTTCCTCCTCCACATTCTCTGACAAGATGTTTTGCCTCACCTTTAGCCCCGAACAATGGAGTCAGTCATCTATGAACTGAGACCTCTGAAACCATGAGCCCCAAATAAACTTTTCCTCCTCTAGTTTGTTCCTATCAGGACTTTTGGTCACAGCAGTGAAAAAACTGACAAAAGCACTCAGAGAAATGAGAAATGGTCTAAATTTAGGAAACCATAATTGGTATGTTTAAATTCTTTATTCTAAAATGTGATCTCTTATAACTTGAACTTGAAGATCTTATTCAAACTTAATATAATTTTTTTACATTTGAATCAAATATATTAAGATTTTTTTCTTTATCATCAGTCTTAAAAAGATGCAGTTTCTTTTCATCTCTCAACTATGTCCCTCCTTAGAGGCCATTAAATTTTGGTTGAACTCCAAGCTCTACCAAGTTCTAAATCTTTCTAATCAGAAGGCACTTCATGTACACAATGTAAATGGGAATAATTCATAAGATATATGTATAGATTAAACTGGACAATGGATGTCACCCACAACACCTAGTGTTTGGAGCCTCAGGCTGTTACTGTCCATACTGTTTATGTTACTAGGCAATGGGTTCTCAAACATCATTCTTCCAGTTAAAGAAAAATGAAATTAACTTCATACAAAAAATTTTCCAAAAACTTGAAAAAGAACTCCTGTCTCATCCAAGTACAAATAATGAATGTATAAAATCACCCCAAATACAGCCATAATAAAATACTAAGTTAGAATTTATTGGTCTAAATGTCATTCTCTTTGTTTTTAAGTATTTCAACAGCTAGAAAACCTTGTAATCAAAAAATGCACATATTTTCAATTCCATTTTATATCCATAGATACTTATTTTTAATATGAAAAATATTTATATTTATTTAGTTGTTTGAAAGATATTGAGCTCACATTTTGATGCATTCTTTCATTCCATAAACTACGTTCATTTAGTGGCATTAACATGTATCCACTATACTAAGTGAAGGGACTTGAAGTAAATTATTGTATTCACCCTCATATATACTTAGTCACAAGTACAATTCTAAAACATAACAGAAACTCAAATAATATACTTATGAATAATTATTTCTTACATATTTCTATGTAACAATATACCCCAAAACTTAATGGCTTAAAGCAAGTTATGATTACAGAAGATTCTGTAGGTTAACTAGACTCAGTGGGACTATTTTGTTCCATGAGTTGTAAATGAGATAGTTCATAGAGCTGTATTTACTGAAAATAACACTACTAGGCTCAATAGGACTGAAATAACCATGACAGCCTCTCATCCTACATGGCTCCCTTCACCTGGTCTCTAATCATTCAAAAGCCTAATTTTAAGCCCTTTAAAGCATGACAACTAGACTCCAAGAAATAAGAGCAAGGATACTACAAGCCCTTTTAAGTTTCGACTATACCAGCCTAAAACATCCATTGCCACATTCTATTGGTTAACGCAAGTCAAAAAACAGCTCAATTCAAGGGGAGAGAATATAGACTCCATCTCTTGATGTAAGAAGCAACAAATACATTGGATAGAGGAGACAAGCAATAGGAGGCAAGTATTGATGATGCATGTCTTTGGAGACTACCACAAAAATATGATAAAGGAGGAGGGTAAAACCACGATAACAGAAATAATCATATTGTGGTATGAATTTAAAACTTCTTTTAAGTGAAAAAAGAAGTATGAGTGATGAAAAGGAGAAACAAACAAGAATGTTTCTCAAAGAAACATTTGAACTAAGACAGTTATTTCAACCAACATATTTAAATAGTCATTTGAAATAAGTTATTAAAAAATAAGATATTAGAGTTGGACATGGTGGTGTACACCTACAATCCCAGAGATTCAGGAGGCTGAGGCAGGAGGATGGCAGGTCCAAAGTGAGCCTCAGCAACTTAACAAGGCTCTAAGAAACAGTGAGACACTGTCTTCAAAAATAAAAAGAAATGGTTTTTTGGCTCAGTGGTTAAGAGCCTTTGGGTTCAATCTGTGGAACCAAAAATAATAGGATGTTAGAAAATAGTTTGGCATTAACTAAATGAAGAAAGTGAATAAATGAAACCTTCTAAATTGAGAGAAATTGTGGAATAGAGAGATATGGAGCACAATAAGAGTCAGAAGCTATAAGATCTTGGTATGAATAAAGTAAGACACATATAGATGGAGGAACTTTCCAGCAGGGAACTGTAAAAAATATCTGGAACTCATGGGAAAGGTCTAACCTGGAGGTATGGATCAGAAAATCTTCAGATATAAATAGTGTCCAAAGGTCAGAAGATGGGCTAAAATATAGTCATATGGGAGAAGAAATATCATGAGAAGGATGGAAGATTGGAAAGAGAGCTCAGAAGATCATTGATATTTGAGATTCCTACATAAGAGATGTAAGAAATAGTTGTAGGAGGAGCAAGGAGATAAATTTTAGAAAGTATCTAAGAAGAAAGGCAGAGTCTTCAGGAAAGAGGAACTGGTCAACAGTGTCAATTATGGGTCAAGTCAAAAGTGAAAAGTGTTCATTGGGTTTGGCAATATGGAGAACTTGGGGAAATCAAGAATTGTTTCAAAAGAAAAGGTATAGAAATTGCAAGTCACTTCAGTAATTGTAAAACGTAATTGGAATTTCATTGTCAAATATTAGGTGTTTTTTGCAAGGAAGTGTTGGTTTTTGCTTTGGTTATATTTGAAAGTATATATACATTTCACAAGATACAGTCTATATTGGAGTAATCAAAATCAATACATACATAATACAGGCTAAAGGCCCAAATCAGGAAAGTTTTTTAAAATGTAAATCCACAACATGATGCAATGAATTTCCTACTTGCTTTGAACTGTTTTTAACATGAAATGTAATTGAAATATTCGTGACTGTGTGTGTGTGTGTGTGTGTGTGTATGTGTGTGTGTGTGTGTGTAATGAAACAAGTCAGGAAAACGGAAATGATATTGATTTCAACAGAGGACATTTAATGGAGGGAATTGGTTTCACAGGTGTTAGAGGGTTAAAAAAGTAAAAAGAGGGAACTCAGGAGCAGCTACAATGCCTGAGGTTACAGGAATAGAGGGAATAGATGAGGATAACCAGAAAGTAGGCACTGGAATGAGGAGCCACTAATCTGGTGCCCTAAGGAAGAGGCACCAGAGTGCCACTTTTGACTTGACCCATAATTGACACTGTTGACCAGTTCCTCTTTCCTGAAGACTCTGCCTTTCTTCTTAGATACTTTCTAAAATTTATCTCCTTGCTCCTCCTACAACTATTTCTTACATCTCTTATGTAGGAATCTCAAATATCAATGATCTTCTGAGCTCTCTTTCCAATCTTCCATCCTTCTCATGATATTTCTTCTCCCATATGACTATATTTTAGCCCATCTTCTGACCTTTGGACACTATTTATATCTGAAGATTTTCTGATCCATACCTCCAGGTTAGACCTTTCCCATGAGTTCCAGATATTTTTTACAGCTCCCTGCTGGAAAGTTCCTCCATCTATATGTGTCTTACTTTATTCATAGAGGGAATAGATGAGGATAACCAGAAAGTAGGCACTGGAATGAGGAGCCACTAATCTGGTGCCCTAAGGAAGAGGCACCTGGGTGCTGCTGGAATCTCTGTGGGAACATGATTAGCCTGGTTCCAGAAGTGACAACAAGATCTGGAATCCAGAATTACTTCCACAATGAGGGCTACCAGCTGATGCTTAAAAAAACTGTCATTTTGACTTGAAGCCATTAAGAGCAAGTTTAAAAATAGGAAGAAAGTCTTGTCTCCTTTCCCACTCCCTGCTCTACAATACTTTCAAGTCCCATCTTAATGCCTTCAGAAAGCTGCCAAGGAAATCTGAGGTCTGAAGTTGCAAAGTCATTGCCCTAGCATCACAGGGTAGAGTCAAAAAGGAGCATGTGAAGCTGAGAGATGGTAGGTAAATAATTCACCAACTTACCAGGGAAAGTGAAGTTCAATTCCATTACAGTTAAGGCACAAAAACTTATGTTGAAGAAGTTATCTTAGAGAATGGGGGATTTTGCATCAACAAGTTAGCACATCTAAGCAGAAAAGAGAAAGAAAGAGGGAAGAAAGAAAGAAAATTTGGACTTCATGGAAAATATCTCTATTAAAATTGGAAAGTGAAAATTCTGAGAAAAATAACTATAATAATAATAATATTGAGTTCTATGTAATTAAATTGGGTTCCAGGGGTAAGAAACTGACCCTTATATGAGAGCCATGGGCCATCATAAAATGTGCCACAGGATCATGCTGCCTAAAAAGCAGGATTTCTGGGCTTTTAGGCTCATGAGCAAACATTAGTCAAGAAGTGCCCCAAAGTTAAGATAGACCAACAGTGACATCTGCTGCCATGGACTTATTTTTAAAAGGGCCAGTCTCAACATTTACAAGTGGAAATTCTGCCAAACCGCTGGACTTCTGCTGTGATGAGTCAGCACTCCTGGAACTCCTGTTTGTCATCTGTGCTATTAGAAGATTTTCCAAGGCGAACAGAGAACATGGGAAAATGAGAGAATGTTTGAAAATGTAACTAAAACAAACAACAGTGGGGGTGGAGAATTAAATGATGAGAAAGAGACTTTGCATTATCTTTTCTCATCCTGTTTTTCCTTTGGCTAAATAAGTCCAAATTAATTTTGTAGTTGTTAGCAACCATGAGCATGTTTTCAGTGAAAAGAAGGATTAATTTAACCGTTGTCAGCTTCAGTGGATTCCAACCTAAAATTTACAGCATAATATCCAATCCAGAAAAAAGTCCAACCATCAAAGGAGGGTATGTGAAAAAGTTTTAGAGGAACCCTGGCTTAGAAAACCACTTCCTAATTATCTAATTGTTTACCTTGATTATTCCTCCTTCAACATCTGCTGACCCTCAGGCATTTTCTTTTTCTTTTCTGAAAGCCAATAGAACATAAGGTTTGAATCAGCACCATTTTATTTCAGCACCATGTTTAAAAAAATTAAATCACATATAGTCACCAGAGTGATCAGTATGGTTCACTTATGTAAACCAACAAATATTAAATAAAGAAAATTGTGTGTTACTGTATTTGCTTGTGAAAAATAGAAAATGATAATGAATTGCTACTTCAGTTATTATGAAAAAAGATGAGTAAGAAAGAAAGATGTTGCAGCTGAAAGAGAATTCAAGAGTGTTGGCTTCTAAAACAGGTTTCTGCCCACATCTAAATGTATCACCTTGAGGAAATTACATAACGTCTCTGGACCTCAGTTTTCTCTTCTGTAAAATGAAAGGATTGTGCTGTATGAACAATGGGAAAGAGATTGCAATTCATTTCCCTTCATTGCTTAACTGGCTATGGTTGCCTGTGAGTCAGTCACAAAGCTATCCCCAGACTCAGTGGGAAAAAGTACTACTTTTTATAGTACTTTTTCTATTATACTACAAACAATGTAAATGTGGAGTGGAAGCATGCACATCACAATATACGAATCTCAGATGAGATTCCTTTATATTTATTGATTTTTTGAAGCTGTAGATTTTGTTATCAGCTGTCAATTTTAGCATCTACTATAATTCCCCTGTGCAAAGATGCTCAACAAACATTATTTCCAGTCTTCATAATATTTTCAAGTCAAGGAAACCAATCCTCTGAAGAAGTAATTTGGTTTCCAAAGTTTAATAACATAAATGTATTCTATTACTTCCATAATATCTTAACATTCTCTATTATGAATAAAATCTTTTTGTATTTTGGTCACATCCCCTAGTCCTCTTCGAATACAAAAGCTATATTATAACATCATTATGTCTTATCTAATGATACCTTGATACACCCATATACCTATACAAGGGGAAATGAACATTTTGGCATGAAATTCAGCTAACTCACATAAACTTGAAGGGATAGGTCAGAAGCTTCATGGAGAAAGTATCCAAAAAAATGTTTTTCACCAGTAAACAGACTAGAAGGATTGCATGTTGAATATTAAAACTGACAAAAGGAATAAATAGTGACAAGAAAATGTTCAACTTGAAATAAATAAGATTAGAGGTATACTGGATCCAAAGCTAAGAAGATCCATGAAAAGGAACATAGTATATTGCATCAATTTGGTAAGCGTAGCTAATTTAATTGATACAGTACTCGGGGATGTACTATGTGAATGTTCTCTAAATACTATCTGATGGTGTTGGTATATAAATAAGGCAGACTATGGGTTCCTGATAAAAAATTTTTTTGAAGTTTCTTGAATTTGATGTATTACCTTGGATATATTTTAGGTTATGAGATCAGATACATTAGAAAATACAGAGTCAAATTTTCCATTAGAACAAACGAACTCTTCCCATCAGATAAAGAATCCTCAGAAATTTTTGAAAGTGGTACATGCTAATTACAGAACTACATATTGATGCTTTCAAAGTACACAAAAATATACAATTGCCAGTGGAAAATTACCTAGCAATATAGCTAGTAAAAAGTTTTAAGTAAACCAGATACTAAAGTGTATCCATAGTGGAAAAATGATTATTAGTGGCCAGATTGGATTTCATGTCAAGGTGCCTTGTGGTCTTAGCTGTCTCATTCATGTTATAAACATTTATTCTTTATTTATCATGAACAGATAGTTCTCTAGTCACAAGGATTATAATGATAAAATAGTCCTAACTTTGAGCAGTAGGTATCTAATTAAAGACAGGCATATAAATAAATTAAAAGACAACATGACAAGTAATTCAGCTGGATTGTTTGAAGTACATAAACATTATGTACAAGTGAAGTAATAATTTTTCCCCTGGAGTCACAGAAAGACAAAGAAGACACAGAAGTACAAGAATAAATTGAAAGTTGATGTGTTTCTTTGGGCACTGGTAGTTTACATGTTGTTTACATAATCCTGAAATAGTAAAAACATATTAAATCTTAAGTCATAGACTTTTAGACCAGCCTCACTCATATATATGTGATATATACGATATCTTGCATGTTCATCTTACATATATACACTCATATATATATCTCTAAAAAGTACAGTCAGTAACTATATGAAAATAGCACTTATATAATCTTGTAAAACAAAGTGTTACATTATTTTTCATCTCTACTACTCTGAGCCAATATCATTCCAAAGTGTGAAGGCCCATCATGATATCATGCACCAAGAAAGGCAAGACAAGAAAGTCCTGCAAAGAGTGTTATTCCACATGCACTCTGTGACTAATTCTGTTTGTGGAATGAACTGAGCTGTGGTCATGGGTCACCCTCAGCCAGCCAAGAGAATGTTTCCAGAGTGTAATTGTTCTGGGCATCGAGGCACTTTACAACATGTTCCCAGTGCCTTTTGATACTCTGCGGCCAGGAGACTGCTGAGAAAATATTATTCACCAGAATTAGACTGGACTAGTCAACCACCGGGTTATTACGTCTCCATGTCAGTGCAAGCCATGTCTGCAACTGAATTTACCATATGTTTCTAATTTCTCTACCTTCTGAACTACAAGTTGGATTTTTTTCTTGACTTTGAAATATTTTAAACAAAGGACTTTCTGTGATGTCTTAGGAAACTTATAAAATTAAAATCCTAGCTAATATCAAAATAAGAGTCCTGGCTCTCCTGCTCTGCCACACTCCTCTCCATTCACGATCACCTTCGTTCAACAGGGTTGTTAGCGGCAGTAGCATCTTTTATTTTTGATATTTTTTGATATTCCTAGCCAATTAACAAATAGAAATCATCACCTGTATATCCTCTGTTGCTGTGTTAACTAGAATAAATACTACTTCAGATTCAGGTCTTAATGCATATAGAAATCATCTATTCATATGTGTTCCAAAGCAGCAATTGTATTCTAGAGAATTATCCAAAGATTTTACACATGTTCACAAGAAGTAAATATATTCACTACAGCATTTTTGTTGTTGTTGTTGTTAAGACTTAGTCAACAAATATATAAAAAATTCAACTTCTTGAGCAATTAGAGAAATGCAAATTAAAACTACAAAGAATTCATCTCATTCCAAATGGAATGGCAATTATCAAGAATACAAGTAACAATAAAATATTGGTGAGGATGGGGGAAAAGACACACTTATACATTGCTGGTGGGACGGCAAATTGGTGCAACCATTCTGAAAAGCAATATGGAGAATCTTCAAAAAACTAGAAAGAGAACTACCATATGATCCATCCATCCCACTCTTTAGTATATATCCAAAGGAGTTAAAAGGAGCATACTACATTGACGCAGCCACATTAATGTTTAGAGCAGCACAATTCACAATAGCCAAGCCCTGGTGCCAACCTAGGTGCCCTTCAACAGACGAATGGATAAAGAAATGTGATACACACACACACACACACACACACACACACACACATACACATAATGGGTGTTATTCAGCCATAAAGAAAGGTGACTTTATGGCATTTTTCAGTAAATGGATGGAGCTGGAGACTATCATGCTAAGTGAAATAAGCCAATCCCAAAAAGTCAAAGGTTAAATGTTTTCTCGGATATGTTGAAGCTAATCCAAAATAAGGAGGTGGGTGGTTTAAAAAAGAATTGAAGAAAAATCAGTGGAGTAGACAAAGGAGAATGAAGGAAAAGGTAGGGAGAAAGGACGGGGAAAGACCGTGGAATGAATCTTACCTAACTATCCTTTACAGTGCAGTATAATAGAAAGAAGAAAATAGGAGGAGAAAGGAAGAGAGGGAAAGGGGAAGTACAGGAGATTGGATTAGAACAAATTGTATTCCATATTTTATAATTATGTCAAAAATGAATCCTACTATCATATATAACTAAAAAGAACAAATAAGAACGTTAAAAGAACTTAAAAAAATAAAACATGACTTATCTATTTAAAAAAGGACACCTAAAATGTGTAAACAAATCTTTCTAGGGGACTAGTAGGATATTTTACCTATGTCCACACAAAGAATAATATGTAACACTTAAGATTATACAAAGATGGTAGATACATATATATGTGTGTGTGTGTGTATATATATACATACATATATGTGTATGTGTGTATATATACAAAAATTTTCATAATAATTGGTAGTTGAAAAAATAAGGAGAAAAAATTTAGTAAGTATACATGTATGTAAATCACACACATACACACCAAGCACACACACATACATACTATATAACTTTTTGTAGATTTGAACATAGAAGTGTTGTTTATTCAACAACAAAAAAAGTTTGAGGGAAATAAAATATATGAAAATTAAAAAATGAGGCCTTGAGGAAACTCTACACATGAATTAATGGAAAGGGGGGCAGGAAGTAAGGAGAGAAAAAAGAAGGAAAAGAAATTGGCAGGAATTTTAGCTTCCAAAATGATGACTAGATTTGTCCCTTATTCTCACTGTTAGAATTTCCAACTGTGCTACAGGTTGGCCCATCCCAGTCCTGATTCTTTGCAACTTGTCAGGAGCAGCATTTGACAATAGATTGCAGCTTCTCCTCCATGAACTTTCTTACTCTGATTTCTGACAGTCCCCCATTCCTGCTCTCAGCTCTCAGGCAACTCCTCATTTCCTTACTCCCTGAGTTATGTCTTCCAGGGTGTGGTGGTAGGCATTCCAAGAGCTCAGGGGCTAGTCTTCAGTATCTTCAGATACTCCTGTGGCATATTTTAATTGTAGGTGATTTCCAAAACTATACTATCAACATTTGTAAGCATTCTGTCATTTTTCTTTTTTTTTTAAAGAGAGAGAGAGAGAGAATTTTTTAATATTTATTTTTTTAGTTTTTGGCAGACATGACATCTTTATTTGTATGTGGTGCTGAGGATCAAACCCAGGCTGCACGAATGCCAGGTGAGCGCGCTACCGCTTGAGCCACATCTCCAGCCCTTCTGTCATTTTTCTTGTTTTCCTTTTCCTTTTTCCAATTCTTAGCCATGACAGCATCCAC